TGCTCCTCCTCCTCCTCCTCCTCCTCCTCCTCCTCCTCCTCCTTCTTCTTCTTCTTCTTCTTCTTCTTCTTCTTCTTTATTAAAGCAGCATTTATTTGCTTGGTACTAACCAGGGAAGAGGGGGCAATTTGCCTCAGAAGAGTCCACCCCGGGAGCCCAGAGGCCAGCAGTGTTTTGTATTAGGGGCAAAGAGGCCCGGACTTAGTTGGCTTCTGATCTCTGGGGCCCCCTGCTCCTCCCTCTGCTGCAAGGAAAGGCGCCACTTGAGCGCTCCCACCTTTGCGGGCCATTGCCTCACTCCTAGCGTCACTGTTACTGTCTTTGCAAAGAGATGGCAGGGCTTGTTCTTGTTTTGTCGTTGGTTTTGCTTTTGTTTTGATGTTTTTGTTTCTTGAGAGAAAGAAACTGAGTCCTAATGCCCCACCGAAGTAAAGGAAGCCCCATCGACCAGAAAGGGGGACTTTCTCATCAATGAGATACCTCACTGGGGAGACGATGACCTTGCCCTGCAGCTTTGCCACTGGGCTCTGGAGTCAAGCAAATCTGCCTTCACATCTGTGTCCCTCAAATACCAACCGGTGACCTTGATAAAAATTATTCAAATTCCTGTGCCTCAATTTCCCTATCCGCAAAGTGGAAGTAAATACTACATCACAGAGTTGTGAGATTGAAACCGAAGAACACATGTAAAGTGTTGGGGTTTTTTTTTTTTTTTGAGATTTTGTTTATTTATTTGACAGAGACACACAGTGAGAGAGGGAACACAAGCAGAGGGAGTGGAGAGGGAAAAGCAGGCTCCCTGCGGAGCAGGGAGTCTGATGCACGGCTGGATCCCAGGACCCTGGGATCATGACCTGAGCCAAAGGCAGACACTTAGTGACTGAGCCTCCCAGGTGCCCTGCTTGTAAAGTGTTTAATTCACTATCTAGAAATAGTCATCCTTCCACATTGTTTTATGACCATCATTCCTTTCCGAACCAAGCCAGGAGTGGCTGCTGCAGAGATTCCGCTGGGTCTCCTGCCGGCCCTAAAGCCCCTCTCCTTTGACAAATCCCCACGCTGTCTCTGTTAATGTGACTTGTTCATACAACCAGTGAGCCTTAACACTTCCTAGTTTTTTGACTTCCTCATAAATAAACTCTTCTGATTTCCCACAGCAACCATCCCTAGGTAAGTGAAACTGTCCTCCTTTTACACAAGGGAAGCTGATGCTGGGTGGGGAGGGCTGGCCGAAGCGCAGCCACCCCATTGGTGGAGGCGCGGAGACTCGTCTTCGGAGGCCAAGGACGGTGCCAGGGCTCCAGAACAAACCAGCCTCCCTCTTTGAGGCTCGCATCCCAATCCCAGACTGCGCGGTGGCCTCTCCGCGCGGGCTGAAGAGTTCGCCAACCCAAAGAGAAGTGTGAGTCGCCTGGAGCGGGCTTGGGGGACCGAGGGCGCAGGTGTCCGCGCAGGTGCTGACTCCGGGTCAGGCGTGTGGTCTCCAGCTGCTCAGTACCGGGTTCCGAATCTCTAAGCTTCGCCGAGAGCGCAGTTCCGCCGCTTAGCTGCGACTCCGAGACCTGCTGCCAGAGCGGAGCCTCCCACGGAGAAGGGCTCCAGCTTTCAAGTCCCTGCGCCCACGGCATGCAATCCAGGAAATATAGGGTGCAATCCAGGAAATATAGGGTATTCTTGAGCTAATCACTTAATGATCTGTTTCCTCTTCCATAATATGGGCTCAAAACGGGATAACTTGGGATGATGTCTTTGAAGTGTTTATTACGGAGCCTGGCGCCTCGTTGCCAGTATCCGCGGTCGAGTGAGGATGGTGGCAGTGGCAGAGGTGAGCTGATGTTGTCAGTATAAAGGCCAGCCTTCCACGGAGGCCCAAGGAGACAGCACAGAGCGCAGCCCAGCCGGCCAGATGAGCCTGAAAAAGAGGAAGAACGAAGGACGAGCTCCCGGGTCGAGAGAGCCACTGGGTACTTCACCGGAGCGGCGGAGACGGGGCGGAGGACTTTGTCACCAACTCTTTTGGCCTCTCTGGGCTAGGTCAGGCCCCACAGGGCGAACCACGTAGGGCTCACGGCGAATCTCCAACTCTGAGTGGCCACCGTCGGCCAAATGCAGGCGAACCGTGGGCCCGAGTGGCGGGGGCACTTGAAGCCCCAAGCCCAAACCCACGCACACAGCCTAGTCTCCGGAGCGAGGGGGCCGGTAAAATTGAGATCTCCCAGGAGCCCATAAACAAAACAAAACAGCCAGCGGGGCCTTGAGAAGGGCCTCTTTCTGCCAATCAAGGGATCTCCAGGTCCCAGAACTCCTCAGATGACCCTGGTACCTGCCTCTCCCGTAGCGCTGTCAGCCTCCCTCTGCTCTTGCGGCTGGGCATGCTTCTCTCCGGGAAGGAACAGACACCAGTAGCCTTCGAAAGCTCTCGGCGAAATGGTTCTCGGCTGGGAAGATGCGCTACGGGAACTCCGCACGCACTTCCCTCGCGCAAGTGCGCGCGGGTCGGGCGACAAGACCACAGGACCGCGGGGCCTCTGTTCACCGCGCAGACAAGCAATCCCACGAGCGTCCGCCTGCACCTCCACTCCGGTCCAACCCGGATGATCATCCAAGGGGGAGCCACAAGCCCTGCCATGCCCCGCACCTCCGGAATCTACGACCCAGCGTGGGTGGAGCGCCATGGGCGCTGGTGGAGCCAAGATGAGCACTCGCCGCGCGCGCGCCTACTGCGGCATGGTCCCCAGCTCTCGCCAGAAGTGCCGGTCGGGGATTCGGAAAATTCGGCACAGAGCTCCTCACCACACACACTCCAAGCCACCGAGAGAGTGGGAGCCGGGGTGGAGAACACAGGAACGCACCCCGCTGTGCAGGAGGGAGACTGAGCTACCGGACTTCTTGTGAATAGCGCCGTGATCACACGGTGCCAGGTATAGGGCACAGCAAACAAAAATCTCTTTTTCTTCTGAAATATGGTTCTTCCTGTCAGTTTGCTAAGAGTTACATGAAGAAGTTCTCACCTTAAAAGCTAAATTCATACCGTGCAATAATAATGCCTGAAAGTTGGGATTTTCAGGATCTGCCTATAGTTCTTCGCAGATTTAATACCTGTAACTCGCTTGGACCTTTCAATCCGGGACTGGTGCCCGGATGCATCCAGCAACATTTATTGGGCTCTTACTCTGTGCTGCGCACCTCTGGAAGTCCTACATGTGCTCGCTCTCGAAATGCTCACAGTTTTAAAAAATCGGATCACTTCTCCTAATGGTCTCTGCGGTCATGGAGATTGAATTGATGATCTGTGAACTTACCTGGATAAATAGGAATTCACTCGATTCCCAGATTTCTCCTTTTGAACCACAAGGGCTGTTTTGTTTTCCCAAATTAATTTTGGCCACCTTGGTCTGGCGCTGTCACCCTCCCGATATCTCCTCTTCAACGATTTCAGTTCAATGCATGTAAGTTCCAATGAAATTGAAGCATTGCACTGCCCTTTCAAGTTGATGAAATCTACCCGTTCTTATATTTCCATTCCCTCATTCTCTCTCTCCTCTTTTCTTTCTCCCTAGATCTTTGGGTCTATGTAGGTGTGGTGTGTGTCTTAGAGTGAGTCTCCCTATCTTTGCCTGTTTGGTTATGCCTATGTATGTTTGTGAGACTATGTTTAGGGTGCATCTTAAGTGGGTTTCAATGGTGACACTAGTCAATGTGTATCTGAGGACCAGAGACACCCTCCTATATACTCATTTTTTTTCCTGTCCAACACAGCTATCTCCCAAGTGTCTGATGACATCGCTGCTATTGAAAACTGTCCACTCAGGGGGCACCTGGGTGGCTCAGTGGGTTAAAGCCTCTGCCTTCGGCTCAGGTCATGATCC